CACCTGGCAATAGGAGAAAAATTTAAGTCCCTGCCGGAGACCGATTACTTTGGAAAACTTTTAGTTTTAAGGAAAAGTTCATTTGAAATTGCTACATATTTAAATAGGTGTTTCGGTTCAAAAAACCGGATCACCGGTTATGAACGCCGGGTAAAATTTAAATATTTTTTGTAATTCCAAGACTCAGATCTATCTACAGAAAAAAAATTCAGATTTTCAAGATTACAAAACCGGTTATATTTCGGATTTTACCCGAACTTTCGGTTCAAAAAACCGGATCACCGGGTAATATTTACATTTTTGTAATCACAAGACCATGTTCTATTTACAGAGCGATCCGAGAGTTATAGCTGAACTAGGATTGTTTCAATATTGCAAGATGCCCTTAGGATCTTTGATTTTGAAAATTTTCTAACAGGTCAAAGGATTTCTGGCAACTTCCGTAATTAAAAAATTTCGATGATAGTTTTATTAGCTTCTTAGTTTTTTAGTTTTTTTTTTTTTTTTTTTTTTTTTGAAACTTTGTATAAATATTTTACAGCAAAAAGAAAAGGGAAGTAAAATCTTTAACCACTGGGGCGTATGAGAAATATTCTTTGATATATTGAACATGAGAATTTATTTGGCATTCATTAAATGGTAAAATATATTTTTTTTCTTGGCTAACCATTGCCTAACACTTTCGTTGCTTCAATATTACCAATAACAATTACCAATTTTGATGACTTTCATTTTGGCCAGTATTGTCGTAGATTTTAGGCAATTATTTTCAAATGAGTTTTTTTGTTTTAATTTTTTTCATTTTAATGGTTTTTTTCGTCTCTCTTTCTCTCCCTCTCTCATAGAACCGAATGAATACATCCATTAACTATTCATCTGAATGCATTTTCTCCACTTAATTAGTTTTTTACTTCTAAATGATTTATTATTTGAAATTTCTAAAGAAAAAGTTAACAAATATTAGAAAATGAAAGTAAATGACGAAACGTGTAGCTCCCCCTTTCAACATTGAATAGTAATTTTTTTTTTTTTTTGAATTCTTGGTTAATTGTTTCTTTTTTGAAAATTTAAAATATTTCAAATATTTTAAAAATGATATTGATTTTTTGTAAATAGCGTTTCTATATAACAAGAACTCAAACTTTGAAAATTTGTCAAAATTAAATGGACAACACATGACCAAAACGTAAAAAATTCCTGAAATCGGAGTTATCCTGGGGGATATACCATAAAGTGGACCGCTATGATCCATTGTCTATACCAACGATTGTGGATGTTATGCAAAGTTTCCTATCAAATTTTAAAGCTCTATCTTCAATATTGCAAAATATAGCCTATACTATAGGGATTTCTTTGGATATGGTCAAAAATATATAAAGGTCTTAAAAAAAATTTGGCCAAAGAACCCCAAACATTTTTGGATTTTTGATTTGCGAACGAGTAAGATCAAGTCCAGTTGGCTTTTTCCACAAGCCAGACTGACCATTGTAAACTTAATTTTATGAAAAATTGCAGCGAATTGGGAAAAAGTGGAAAATTTTGTGAAAACAAGGTTTATAAACATAAAATTGGTATTTTTCAGGCTACATATTGAATATACACATTCATTTTGTTTAGAATGAAATTTGAGAAAATGAAATCACAATGAAATTTGATTTAGAATAACTCTCACATCGACATTTCCCCCAAAAAGTATAGTATAAAGGGAGATTTTGACTGATTGATTGGATTTGTGTTAAATTAACAGCAGTGAAAGCAAATACATAATTTCCACATACATTTTGAATGTAATTTTCTTAAAAACTATTGGACCTATATAAATTGTTTACTCTGAGATTTATAGTGAAATTTTGTATAGAATATTTCGTCTTTTGGTGCATTCTGTCTAAAACGAAATTTAATGTTACTTTCATCCATAAAATCGGAAAAAGTCCGAGGAAAAAATTATCAAAAAATTTTAGAATATTTTAGGTTTTTTTTTTTTTTTTTGTGGAACATTAATGCAATTTTTTTCTGGATATGTAATGAAATTAGAGATTTCTTGTCTTTGGTGACTAGTTGCGGAATTTCATTTAGAATAATTCTTACTCTGAGTCTTTCCCCAAAAAATGTAGTATAAAAGGAGATTTTGACTCGGATTTGATACGTGTTTAATTAACGTTAAAAAAGCAAGCACATAATTTTCAGTTTTAGCACATACATTTTGAATGTAATTTTCATATAAAACTATTGAACCTAGATAAATTGTTTGATTCGAGATTTATAGTGAAATTTTGTGTAGAATATTTTTTCTTTTGACACCTTTTAGCTAAAATGAAATTTTATGTTACGTTCAGGTGACAACTTGAAAACAGCCCGAGAAAAAATTGATAAAAAAAAACTAGAAATATTTTCGACGGTTTTTGTGGAACATTGATACACAATTTTTCTTGGCATCTAATCAAAAACTAGATTTCCTATCTTTGGTAACTAGAAATGAAATTCGATGTAGAATAATTCCCCCTTTGACACTTTTCCCAAAAAATGTAGTATAAAGGGAGATTTTGACTCGGGTTGGAAATGTGTTAAATTAGCAGTAAGAAAAAAGTCAACACCTAATTTGTATATAAACATGTAGTAAATAAATTTTGAATGTAATTTTCTTTAAAACTACTGTATATATATACAAGATGAGATGAAAAAACCAACTTCAGACTGCTGATAAAAAAAAAAAAAAAAATGAGATGAAAAAACCAACTTCAGACGGCTGTCATTTCTAAGCCACTTGTCCAACAGCTGTTAAAATTATTTCAAAATGGGTCACTTTTAATTGTAAAATCACAAATATTTGTATTTCATAATTTTCAAAATATTTTCAATTTTTGTATGTTTTTTTTCACAAAATAATTTTATGTTTAAAAAATTATGAATAACGATTTTAATTTTAATTTTGTTTTTTTTTTTTTTGAAATTAAAAAATTTTCAAATAACTTCCCCTGATTGCTCTTCTAACAACTGTAAATATTACCTAATCTTCAAAATATTTCCAAATTTTTAATTATTTTTTTCCCAAAATTTTGATAGCTGTTTTATTCTTTTTTTTTTCAAATTTCCAAATGACTTCCACTGATTGCTCTTCTAGCAACGACAAATATTTCCCAATCTTCCAAATATTTCCAAATTTTTAATTCTTTTTCTTTTTTGGACATGACAAGAATTTCCAAAATCACTTCTCTTGTTCTCTCTTCTAAAAACTACAAATATTTCATAATTTTTAAAATATTTTCAATTTTTGTATGTTTTTTTTTTTTTCACAAAATAATTTTATGTTTAAAAAATTATGAATATCGATTTTAATTTTAATTTTGCTTTTTTTTTTTTTTTTTTTTTTTTTTGGAAATTAAAAAATTTCCAAATGTTTTCCCCTGATTGCTCTTCTAACAACGACAAGTATTTCCTAATCTTCAAAATATTTCCAAACTTTTAGTTCTTTTTCTTTTGTGGACATTAAAAAAATCTTCAAATAACTTTAATTCTTTTTCGTTTTTGGATATTAAAAACATCTCCAAAAAATTTGCCAAAATTTTGATAGCTGTTTTCAACTACGAAAACTCAGTGATATCGCTTAGGTGCCTTTGGTGACCATTTTCTGTCAGTCTCTAGCGACAAATATTTCCTAATCTTCAAAATATGTTCAAATTTTTAATTCATTTTTGGGCATTTAAAAATATGTGATAGCTGTTTTTAACTACGAAAACTCAGTGATATTGCTTAGGTGCCTTTGGTGACCATTTTCTGTCAGTCCAAAATTTTTCAAAGGTAATACCTTAAAATTTAAACTTGTTCCCGAGATATACCCCTTTAATTAAAATTATTCTTTTTTTCAAATTTCCAAATGACTTCCCCTGATTGCTCTTCTAACAACGGCAAATATTTCCTAATCTTCTAAATATTTCCCAATTTTCAATTCTTTTTCTTTTTTGGACATTAAAAAGAATCTCCAAATCACTTCCCCTAATCTCTTTTTGCCAGCAGCAGAAGCTAACCACACACACACAGCACAGCAAAATATTTCCCAACCCACAAAGCAAACATTTTTCAAATATCATCGAACACAAACACTTCACATTTGATATTTAAAGTTAGCAGAAATAAATTAAAAAAAACTCTGAAGAAAATTTAAATGTCATCCTCCAAAAAAAAAAGATGATGAAAAAAATAATAAAAAAAATTGAAACACTTGCCTTTTTTTGAAAAAAAAAGTAAAGACAAAAAGGCCGATGATGATGTTGCCAAGTATTTTTTTTTGTTGGTCTCTCGCTTTCGGAATGACGCGGATGATTGGCCAGATATGGAAGGAACAAAAATGGAATTCACCAAAAAAAACAGTTAAAGGCCTTTTTTGTGGCGATGATTTGTAGGCAATTGTTTGTTGTTTTTTTATGGAGATTTTTTCTGTTGTTTTTATTTATTAATAATTTTTTTTTTGTTTTTGTTTGAGAATTACACAAAAGCGCAATTTGTTTTAATTTTTGTGTGTTAATGATTTGTATGATTTTTTTTTATTTTTTATTATTTTTTGTTGTTTTTTTTTTCAAATTTTCTTGGCTGTCACCTATGGAGCAAAACGCTTGAAATGACGCCAACACTTAATTTTGCAATTACAGGGCACTTTTCAATATTTTTTATTATTATTATTTTTTTTTGTAAATTGTAATTTTTTTTTATTATTTTTGTAATTTGTTTTTATTATTTTTATTGCTATTACCGTTAATTTACACACACATATAAGAAAAATACCGTACTTCCATAAAATGTTTTTTTTTTGCAATTTGCAATTTTCGATTTTTATTTATTTATTTTTTTTTTTTTAATTTTGCCGGTTGTTTATTTGTTTTTTTTTTTGTCTGGAATTCGTTTGGTATTTTGTTTTATTTATTTTTTTTTTTTTTCAAAACTTAAAATAGCAAAACAAAAATTACACACGTGCCAAAAAAATATGCATACACGCACGCACTTACAAAACGGAAAGGATAAAGAAATCCGCCAACACAGACCTCTAGGCGGTTTTGCTAGGCAGCTGAAATTGTTGTTGCAACTGTTGCTGGATGCCAATGCCTTGTTGTTGTTGGGGTTTTTGTGGCACTTGATTTATTTTGGTTTTGTTTTTTTTTTGTTGTTGCTTTTTTTCTTGGCAGGCCAGCAGCTATGCGCTTAGCATACTTATGAAAATATGCAGTTTTTTGTTGTTGTATTTTTTTTTCAATTTTTTTTCTTGCCTTCAAATCAAAATTTACAATTTCTTGTGTTGGCTGCTTGGCTGTCTGGCTGGCTGGACTGACTGCCTGTAAATGTTTATTTTGCACTTGAATTATTTACACGCAATGTAAACAAATAAATTTGCATAACAACACCACCTCTTGTTGTTGTTCTTTTTAGGGTTGTTGTTGTTCTTGGCAACTCCAGCATAAACATAAATTCACACAGAAATGACGGCGCGCGTGGTAGATGGAAACGCGTTGCAACCGACAGACTTTGATTTATTCAATTCGACAGCAGAAAAGCAAAAAAACAAAAGACTTAAGACACAAACGTCATGAATAAAACAAAAGCCAATGATTTTTTTTTTGTTTTGTTTTTGCAATTCAATATTTTTTTAGATTTTATTTTCAATATTTCTTTTTTCCTCTCTTTGTTAAAAATTGTAAAAATATTCTTTTCAATATTCAATTTGAAATTCTTATTTCATCAATACTTTTTTTCTTCACTTCTTGTGTGTTTCAATAATTTTTATTTTTTTTTAAATTCTCTCGTTTTATTTATTTTTTCCCGCTTTTGCGAAACAACACCTGCAAAGTTTAAAATGAAACTGAAAGCTAAGTTTTCAACATTTTTACCCAACAGCTTCGCAAGTCGGCAGTCGGCAATTCTGCTGACTTAGCAGCTCATTCCCTTTAACATCAAACGCACACACACTCTCACAAAACTCAAAACTGTAAGCCAGCCCAACACACAGACAAGACAAGACGTAAAATACAACAAGTTCAGTTAGTCAGTCAGTCAGCGGCCAGGCAGCCAGCCAGCCAGCAGTCAGCCAAATATTTAAACCATAACTCAATTTTTCGTTTCGTATTTCAAAAACTTCAAAAGCGTAACTCTCTTTGGTTTTGAGTTCGGGTTCTCTCTCTCTCTCTCTCCATATCTCTCGCGAGATTTTGTGCCAATTGTAGAATTTCAAATTTTACGCTTAAATGTTAATTTGTTTCGCCAAAAAAACACAATGTTAACATTTACTTACAACACAGCCAAGCAACAACAACAACAAAAACAATACTTTGTTGTTACTGTAATTAACAGCATCTGAGTTGTGCCATCCATGGATTAATTATGAAGTTTATGTGCAAAAAATAAAATTTCCATTGGCAAATAATGGACCAAAAATTGGGGATATTATACCCTACACTAGGTATGTATTGGGAAACAAATTTTAAGGGATTTATAGGATGGGATGCAAAATAAAACAACATTTTAGGTCGATTTCGGGGGAACTTTTTTTACCTTTGAAAGTAAATTAAAAAAATCCTGTATTTTAGGTCAATTTTTACCCCAAGTGGTAATAGCTGTTTTTTTACTATGAAACCTCAGACTTAGCCCTTAGCCTTTGGTGACGATATTCAGCTTGTCTCTAGCTACAAATTTTCCAAACATAGCATATCAAATTTTGATCAGGTTTCCGAGATATAATCCTTTTTAGTCTTTTACCTTTTTCTTTTGGCTCAAATTTTGACCCAAAATTTTAATAGCTATTTTTAACTAGGAAAACTCAGTGATATCGCTTAGGTGCCTTTGGTGACTATTTTAAGCTTGTCCCTAGCTACAAATTTTCCGAAAATAGTATACCAACATTTTAACTGGTTGCCGAGATATAATCCTTTGAAAATTATTATTTTACCTTGTTCTTTTGGCTCACATTTGACCCAAAATTTTTATAGCTGTTTTTAACTAGGGAAATTCAGTTATATCTCTTAGGTGCCTTTGGTGACTATATTCAGCTTGTCCCTAGCTAAAAATTTTCCGAAAATATTACATCAACATTTCAACTAGTTTCCGAGATATAATCCTTTTTTTAGTCTTTTACCATTTTTTTTGGCTCAAATTTTGACCCAATATTTTGAAAGCTGTTTTTAACTTTGAAAACTCAGTTATATCTCTTAGGTGCATTTGGTGATTATTTTAAGCTTATCCCTAGCTAAAAATTTTCCGAAAATAGTATATCAACATTTCAACTGGTTTCCGAGATATACTCCTTTTTGTAGTCTTTTACCTTTTTCTTTTGGCTCAAATTTTGACCCAAAATTTTGATAGCTATTTTTAATTACGAAAACTGAGTTATATCTCTTATGTGCCGTTGGTGATTATTTTAAGCTTGTCCCTAGCTACAAATTTTCCGAAAATAGCATATCAAATTTTAATCAGGTTTCCGAGATATAATCCTTTGAAAATTATTCATTTATCTTTTTCTTTAGGCTCGAATTTTGATCCAAAATTTTGATAGCCATTTTAACTACGAAAACTCAGTTGTATCTCTTAGGTGCATTTGGTGACTATTTTAAGCTTGTCCCTAGCTACAAATTTTCCGAAAATAGCATTTCAACATTTTAACTGGTTGCCGAGATATAATCCTTTGAAAATTATTATTTTACCTTGTTCTTTTGACTCACATTTGATACAAAATTTTGATAGCTGTTATTAACTAGGAAAACTCAGTGATATCGCTTAGGTGTTATTGGGGACTATTTTCTGCCAGTCCCTAGCTACAAATTTTCCAAAGGTAAAACCTCAATATTTAAACCTGTTTCCGAGATATGGCCCTTTGAATGTTATTCTTTTTTTAATAATATCTAAATAATACCAAATTTCACCCAATATATCAACAGCTGTTTTTTACTAGGAAAACTCGATCCTGTCGCCTAGGTGCCTTTGGTGACTATTTTACGCTTGTACCCAGCTACAAAGTTTCCAAAGATAGTAAATCAAAATTTAAATCGGTTTTCGAGATATGACCCTTTAAAAATAATTCTATACCAAATTTCACCCAATATAATAACAGTTGTTTTTTTTTAATAAGAAAAAATAATATTATCGCTTTGGTGCCTTTAGTAGCTATTTAAAGCTTGTCCCCAGCTAAAAATTTTCCGAAAATAGTATATCAACATTTCAACTGGTTTCCGAGATATAATCCTTGTTTTAGTCTTTTACTTTTTTTTGGCTCAAATTTTGACCCAAAATATTGATAGCTATTTTTAACTACGAAAACTCAGTTATATCTCTTAGGTGCCTTTGGTGACGATATTCTGCTTGTCCCTAGGTACAAATTTTCTGAAAATAGTATACCGACATTTTAAATGGTTGCCGAGATATGATCCTTTGAAAATTATTATTTTACCTTGTTCTTTGGCTCACATTTGACACAAAATTTTGATAGCTGTTTTTAACTTCGAATACTCAGTTATATCTCTTAGATGCCTTTGGTGATTATTTTAAGCTTGTCCCTAGCTACAAATTTTCCGAAAATAGTATATCAACATTTGAACTGGTTGCTGAGATATAATCCTTTGAAAATTATTTTTTTACCTTTTTCTTTGGCTCAAAATTTGACCCAAAATTTTGATAGTTGTTTTTAATTACGAAAACTGAGTTATATCTCTTAGGTGCCTTTGGTGACTATATTCAGCTTGATGGCCGTTTTTAACTACGAAAACTCATTGATATTGCTTAGGCGCCTTTGCAGACTATTTTAAACTTGTCCCCAACTACAAATTTTCCAAAGGTAATACCTCAAAATTTAAACTGATTTCCGAGATATAGCCTTTTTGAAAAGTATTCTTATTTTCAATAAAATTTAAATTATACCAAATTTCAACCAATGTAATAAAAGCTGTTTTCACTAAGAAAAACCAATTTTATCATTTGGGTACCTTTGGTGACTATTTTCGGCTAGTCCCTAGCCTCAACATTGCCAAAAATAGTATAGCAAAATGTCAACTAGTTTCCGAGATATCGCCCTTTGAAAATTATTCTTATATCAAATTAATTACACAACCCCACACCCCCAAAAATAATTTTTTTTTTGAGTCTATTTATCAGAAACCAAGTTCATATCCAGAAAATAATTTCGAAGCGCTAAAGAGGTCAGAACACTGTGCAATAAAATTTACATTTTTTTTTAAGAAAATTAAAAATTATGGAATTTAATCAAACATAATTATACCCTCAGCCGCCATATGGCTAGAGAGAATTTATAACATTTGATGCAGCCAAAACGTGCCTCATCGACATAACGATTTTAGACCCTAGGTCTCTTTGGACCTAGACATTTCGAGTCGATCTAGGGATGTCCCTCGGTCTTTCTGTCTGGCTGGTGCGCACGATAACTCTCGAAGAGGATTATCCAATTTGGTCCAAACTTGGTACATCGTAATGGTATTGGTATCAAACATAGATCGAGTTCGGAGATGGGCAAAATCGGTCATCTACTTCTGGTATCTCCCCTACAAAAAGACGACATTTTCAAACAAATATTTTACGGCACAGAGAGAGAGAAAGAATCATTCGATTTTGCTCCAACTTTACAAATCCTAATATTTGCATCAGTGCTAGGTTAGATGCGAAAATGGACAATATCGGTACACTCCATCAAGTTCCTCACCCACAAAGGGTCTAAATTTTAAATAATTTTAACTCTTATAAAATATGTTCTAAGAGTCCGATTGTCTTGAAATTACGCACATCACAATATTTTTATTAACCCATGGTTTGTTGTGGAGATGGAATCTATCGATCCACTCCTTCTCGTATCTCCCCCAAAAAACTTCGAAGTTGTGAATATCTATAAAGCTCATAGCAAAAGCGAAATTAACATCCGATTCCATTCAGACCTAGTACTTCTCAATATTTCTATCAACACAGGATCTGTTATAAAGATGGTATACAACGGAATATTCCTTCTGGTAGACCCCCCCTCCACACAATAGGCTCAACATTTTTGATTAACTAAAACGATCAAAAAATTCGAAATAGGCATCCGGATCTCTTCAAATTTCACACATGCCATTATTGTTACTAACACAAGATCTGCTGTGAAAATGGAAATTAAAATTCTCGTATTTCTCCCACAAAGGGTTCAAAATTTTGAACAAAAGAACGCTTATAAAACGCAATTTTCACACATCCTAAAATTTTTACTAACGCAAAATCTGTTGGAAAGCTGAAGGCTATCTGCCAACCCTATCTGGTACTTAACCTATAAAGGTGACAATTTTCTCAGACAGTAGCCTGATATGAATGCGGAATTTATAATTTTGTATAAATGTTCGATTTTTTACAACATTTAGTACCTTTTTTTGTACTTTTAGAACCATTTGGGCTCTAATTTTCAAAAAATTGTTTTCTGCGACTCTTAAACCCAATCTGTCAATTCTCACTTCAAATGTCAGATTGACAGCCCCACCCATTTGATAAATTAAATGGTATAGCATTTAGTACCATTTGGTACCTTTGATTTGTTACTACTTTGTACGCTTTCACACCTTACACACCTAGTATACCGTCTGTGTAGAATTTTCCGAGTTCTAGCTTTACCTTTCGATAAATCAACATGTTGTATTATTATACCTTCCACCATTCTATTGAGGGTATATTAGCTTTGTCTTTCCGTTTGTAAATACTTGAAATATTCATGATAGACCCTGCAAATTATATATATTCTGGATCTGCATAAATTTGTAAGACGATCTAGCGATGTCCGCCTGTTCAA